TGGATGAAAATTAGAGTTAAATATCTCTTCTTAATCAAGAAATAAAGTTATATGAAAATACATCTCCTAAAGTGCCTAATATGATATGAGACCAAAGAGTGTAGGCCCAAAGCTTCTTTTAAGAAAGAAGCTTGAGACTAGTATTTGCCTGAATCAGTCCATATTTTCATGACCTGCAAGAAGGGCATTTGATTTCACTTATGCTTGGTTACTAAATACAGCTGGCAAGAGAAATCTGTTGTTTGAGAAAATTGTGTTAGAAACGACAATGAAATGAATGGTCCAACTCTGGTTTATGCTGAATCTTTAACAGAATCACAGAAGCGATCGTGTCCAAAGCTGCTGTAAAGACTGCCGTATAATTAGGTTATTCTCCAACCATTACCTGGCAAGTCACCAACCTCCACTTCTGAAAGCTCTATGCCAGTTGTTTTTTGGTTTTGTTTTTTTTGTTGGGTTGGTTTGTTGGGTTTTTTTTGTTCTTTTTGTTTGCTCTAGTAAATAATCTGTAGCATTTAGTTTTGTTACTAGTTTTGTAGTGAAAATCCAAGTGATTTCTTGGTGTGCAAGAGGAAAATTAACATATGGAGGAGAAATGGCCTGATGCAAAAACCTTTGAACAGCTTCTCTTGACTTTCCACCAGCGTTGAGCAGATCCAAGACAAATGCTGACGTTTGGGCTAACTGGTAGGATTTTCCTTTTCCCTTTCCCTTCCCTAGCCTTTTTTTTATCACTTTTTTTCACTGTAATCAATGCACTAAGGAGGGAGATTCAATCCATCGTGGACTGAAGGGCTGGAGGCATTACTCACTCAAAAGCCAGATCACAGTTGCAAGCTTCACAGCCTTCACCACATGATCCCCTGGACACAAGCTTGGGTCTCTGGAAGAGGACAATGCTTGCAATATTTTAAGGTCTGATAGGAATGAGTCGTTGGGCATATTGTCAGTGAGTATGTACATTCTCTGTCAGAAAATTCTGCTGACAACAGGAAAGCATTTTGCATGACCATTAGGTGGCTTGTAGGACATCTCATAATGACATGGTTGATTTTCTTATGTCTCAGTGCGCACATCTAGAAAAGCAGGTTTCTTAGTGTCACCTAGTGCTTACTTATTTCTTACAGATCTGGAAGCTCTAGCATTCTTGATAGGAAGAGGTATTTTTAATTTTTAGCATATGGGGAAGACCCTGTGGGCGAGGCATCTGTACAATGCATTTGTAGGCAGTCATGTGCTTTTAAGAGGCTGACCCAAAGTCACCATTAGGTTTTGAAAACCAAACTTTGTATGGGTCCCATGACTTCTGAATCAGACCATCAGCAACCTAATAAGAATTTTCCTCTCTATATCTGTCCTGGTTCTGGCGAGGATAGAGTTAATTTCATAAGGAGCCAGGACAGGTAACCCAAGCTGGCCAGGGGCTATTCCATACCATGTGACATCATGCTCGCCATAAAAGGGGGCTAGTCGGGCAGGGGTGGGCTTGGCGTGGCTCTGGGACTGGCTGAGCATCCGGTCGGTGGATCGTCCGATCATATTGGTAAATTTCTTTCTGTTATCAGTACTGTTGTTGATTGTTCCCCTCTCCCTTGCTGTCCCGGTAAACTGTCCTTATCCCAACCCTCGAGGCTTTGCCGTTGTTTTTCCATTCTTCTCCCCATCCCGCCGGGGGAGGGGTGAGTGAGCAATGGCGTGGTGCTCAGCTGCCAGCTGGGGCTACACCACGTCACTATCTTCATAGGACCAAGCATTTTATTATCAAGAACTGTAACGCTGTAATATTTTGCATGCTATATTGGCATTATTTCATAGAATCATAGAATCATTTTGGTTGGAAAAGACCTTTAAGGTCATAAAGTCCAACCGTTAACCTAGCACTACCAAGTCCACCACTAAACCATATCCCCAAGCACCACATCTATGCGTCTTTTCAATACCCTCAGGGATGGTGACTCGATGACTTCCCTGGGCAGCCTGTTCCAATGCTTGACAACCCTTTAGGTGAAGAAATTTTTCCTAATAGCCAGTCTAAACCTCCCCTGGTGCAACCTGAGGCCATTTCCTCTTGTCCTATCACTTGTTACTTGGGAGAAGAGACCAACACCCACCTGGCTACAACCTCCTGTCAGGTAGTTGTAGAGAGCAACAAGGTCTCCCCTCAGCCTCCTTTTCCCCAGGCTAAACAACCCCAGTTCCCTTAGCTGCTCCTCATCAGACTTGTGCTCCAGACCCTTCACCAGCTTCGTTGCCCTTCTCTGGACATGCTCCAGCACCTCAATGTCTTTCTTGTAGGGAGGGGCCCAAAACTGAACACAGCACTTAAGATGTGGCCTTAGCAGCACAGAGTACAGGGGGACAATCCCTTCCCTAGTCCTGCTGGCCACGCTATTCCTGATACAAGCCAGGATGCTGTTGGTCTTCTTGGCCACCTGGGCACACTGCTGGTTTGTATTCAGCTGGCTATTGACCAATACCCCCAGGTCCTTTTCTGCCGAGCCTCTTTCAAGCCACTCTTGCATTAAATCAAGTTCTTTTAAATTAATTGATATAATCACGTCTATTAGTTTGTGATCTCTCCACATCTTATCTCCATGAATATGTATCCTGTTTGTATGTGAAGGTATATGATACTTGTTGTGGGCTTGTGTGAACCTATCAAAAAGCCAAACATTTCAAGATGGATTGAGGAAAGTTCTAACATTATACAGTAATGCAAACTATGAAATTTATATTGAAATATTATTGAAGACATATGATTTGGCATGAATTACTGTGCTGGGTAAATAATCAATACTACATGTCTGACCTAAGATTGTGAAATTCAGCAGTTTTCGAGGTCATTGGTGGGTTTTTATTAAAATGTGTCTCCATCGCTTGCCTAGCTCAAGGATCTAGTAAGAAATGAAATAAATACTAAAATACTGAGTATTCTCCTAGAGCTAGATACCCAGGTCCCACAAAAATTTCAGTAAGTTTTAGGAATCCAACTAATTCAGGCACTTTAAGAAGTCCTATATGAACATTTAGGGTGTTCAAAATGGAGATTAGTGCACTGGAGTCATCTCTTTTTGTTATAGCTGATTTTAGCATATACATTTAACTTTCTAATTTCTAATTTAAAAGGAGAAATTTGGTTGAATGCACACATTATTTCAGCTGACAAATAAAGGCCTGTTGTTTCATTACTGTGCTTTCTGCATCAGTAATGTGCATGCTCAGCTTTTGTTTTTTAAAACAGACAAAAGTTATTAAAGATGCAAATACAGTATTATATAAACATTTAAAAATATATATAATGTGCTAGTGGTAAAAAGAGAAGAATGCTATGACACAGAAAACAAATTCATTTTCTGTGAAAAAGGTAAGCTAAATAGCTGAACTATGAACCACAGAAAGATGGATGCAGTACAAGCAGTTTAGAAACCTTAATCTGACAAAAGGTCGTAAGAAAATGTCTTCTAGTCCACTAATTAGCAATTGGGTGCCAATTTTTTGGTTT